GAATCTCTTTCTGTGATTGGAACAAGTAAAATCTGCTCTCTAACCAGATTCACTAACCAAATTCTGCTTGCTCTGCACACTAAAAGGTTTCAGTAAGCAATTGACTCTGTCACCCCAATAAAAAACAATGTTAAAAACAAATTAATTATGTATCATTTGTGGACTTAAAAAAACAACCACAACAAATACTGTTTGTGTCTGCTAGACTTACCGTATTTCCATTCCTGACCACAGAGGGAAATTCTATGTGCGTTTTCTAGCTTCTTAATCTTTGTTTTATTCTCTGTCTTTATTCTGTAAGCCTATGTTTTTTTGTTGTAAAATCTTAATAAATATCTCTTTAAAAAAAAAAAGGAAATGCAAACAGCAGTAATTTCCACTTCCATTTCTGTTAGACTCTTCCAACATCCCTGTTATTCCTACATTACTTTTTCATGACATGGATATCTATAGTGTGAATGGTTAGTATATATGGAGGAAGTTCTTAAGCGGCAAATATGCCCAGCCTCTCAGCCCATTCTCATATACCTTGAACCTGCACATAATAGACTGCCCCAAATTTCGGATTACAAAAATGCTGGTATATATGTAGAACCATCCCTCCCTCCCCATAGGATATCCATGCATCTCTATACAGTGAAACATATTAAACATATGTAACATATGAGGTAGCCCATTATTTATACGTGTGTAATGGAACACAAACGCTTCCCCCAGGTGGGCCATGTTCTTTCCTAGTGTCTATATTTGTCTCAGTCCTGTGCTGCCTTATGCCATATTCCCAGTAGTTAAAAACAGGAGTGCTAAGTATCTGTCTTCATTGCTTGCGTCAGCGTTGTCTTGAAAGTATGCTGTGCACATACAGCGTGCAAGATCAGGGGAAGATCTGTGTTACTAAATGGGTCATTAAAGATGTAACGTCATAGTCAGAATCAATCACTCAATCATTTTATTTGCATGGCACCTTCTCAAAGTTAAAACCTCAGTGCAGCTTACAACTAACAAAAAAGTACATAACTACACACATAACAAAAGTAAAAAGGTAAAGGTACCCCTGCCCGTACGGGCCAGTCTTGACAGACTCTGGGGTTGTGCGCCCATCTCACTTAAGAGGCCGGGGACCAGCACTGTCCGGAGACACTTCCGGGTCACGTGGCCAGCATGACAAAGCTGCATCTGGCGAGCCAGCGCAGCACACGGAAACGCCGTTTACCTTCCCGCTAGTAAGCGGTCCCTATTTATCTACTTGCACCCGGGGTGCTTTCGAACTGCTAGGTTGGCAGGCGCTGGGACCGAACAACGGGAGCGCACCCCGCCGCGGGGATTCGAACCGCCGACCATGCGATCGGCAAGCCCTAGGCGCTGAGGCTTTTACCCACAGCGCCACCCGCGTCCCATAACAATAAACAAAACATCAGAATGTACACAACCAAACTGAACAAGTTCCACATAAACCATAAGATCCAAAATAAAGATTTTTTTAAAAGTAACAACAACCCTACAGCCAAAAGAATCCCCCAAACAATACCCCAGCCCAAGATTATGTTCAGCAGCCTCAGCTTTTGTAGTTGGAGTCAGTCAGGGCCCCACTCGCCCAGGCCAGGTTGGAAAAGGCTTTCAAGGCAGAGAGCAGGTCTTCCAGGACTCTCAACCATATTTCCTTGCATCACCTCCAACACAATGACTTAGATCCAGAGAACCATGAGGAAAGTTCTGCTTGTGCAATGGACCGTGCCTGCCTCCACCTTTCCACTGCAGCCCCTTGTCCCTTTCCCCAAAACCTTGTGGAAGGGCATTTGATGATGTGGTGGGGCAGCAATCAGCTGAGACTAGAGACAGTTCTCTTGCATGATTGGAAGTGCTTTCTGCTCCATAAGGAGCTCTCTGGTTCTAGTCTAATAGTTTTCAAGCAAGTCAACTCACACATTTAGCTTCCAGCCATTCCAAGCCCTTTGCACATGTTTACCAAATAAGCAAAATGATTATGTGTGGAAAGGTAGCTGGCTGCCGTTGACATTCAAATGTCCACCCATTTTGTGTGCACTTGGGCTTTGTGCACAGAGGAGGCGATGGATGTACAGATGTTGAGTGTATGGACAACAGGCAGAATCTTGCTCTTTCTCTATGATGTATTCATTCTGTACATCATGTGCATGTATGAAAAGGGCTCAACTGTATAATGATCAAGTTTTTATTTAACAAAATTTGTATGCTGCTTAATTGTAAATAAAACCTTAAGCAGTTTTGCAAAGCTATAAAACATATATTGTCAGCAAATGTCAAAATTAAAAGTAACTTTTATTAAAAAAATCAGAATATAAATAAAACCAACAGTTTAAGACATACATTAGAATATATTGGCTTTACATGTCTGGGTAGGGACAAATAGAAGATGCTTTCACTCCGCTATGGCTTCCCTTTATCACATACACAGCCCAACAAGACAATGACAAGAATCCACCAACAACATATGAATCAATATGGCTAACCTGATCCAAAACACTCACCCACCCCACTCACACATGAAAACAAAGCTCATCACAAATGAACAACCGCACCCTAGGCCAACCCCAACCTCTCTCACCACCAAAGGAACACAAGTGAATAGCAGAGAACTGGCACAAGCGACACTGACACAAAAACCCCCAATTCAATTTAAGTAAAATTTAAACATCGCCACCCATCCCCAACCACACTCACCATTCCACCCTCTACCTCTTTCCCCCTTTTCTTTCCCCCTTTTCTTCCTAATGTAACACTAATGTCTCAACAAATGAAACTGATCTGTAAAAATATTACTTCAAAAAAGAGACATTGCACATACTTTTGTAAACCAAGAAAATCTTTAATAAAAATACATTTTAAAAAAAGTTTTTAGCAGGCCTGAAAACACCTGCCTACATATAGAGAAAATGCATGTGCGAATTATCCTCTACTACTATTAACCACAGAACTCATTTTCTTTATTTCTTACATTGGCCAGATCCAGCCATAGGGTTACATTTATGCATCTCTCTATCTCTTTCCCTGGGGGAAGCACTGGGGGGAAAGGGTTGAACGTCTGGAGAAGGGCCAAGTCTATCAAAATATTTTATTTATATACTTTTACAATTCTATGGAGCTCATGGCTTACTTTTGGCATCTCCCGTTCGTTTAACTTTCTAGAAGAATTTTAAGGGATTTAGTAGTTTTCATGAAAAGAGACTATGTTGCTGATTGAACTCTATTCATCCACATAAAAGCAAGAACAAAGAAAACAGTAGCACACCAGCTTTTTTCTTTCTTTCAAAACAATGAGTTCCCTCAATAGTGCAAGAATCCCGGAGGTGGTGAAGGAAATGCATTATTAGGTTGCGATTTACGGAACCACTTGAAGTTCACTTCTTCCATGTGTTTATTGGAGTTTCTTTATGTGAAGCAGCAGCATTTCCCTTTGCCTTCCTCTGGAAGCCACATCCAACATTTCTCACATGTTCGGAGCCAGCATGTCCAGAGATAAAGCAGTGGGGGGGTTGGCAGTGCAGGTTGCCAGTCAATCAATGCCTATTTAGCTCTGGTAATTCTGCAGCACTCCCAGACCGCTGACTGGACCCTGAGGTGACTGATTTCATAAAAGGAAGGAACATAAACCCAGTGGCTCATACATTGGCACTACGCCATTTGGGCTGGGGTATATTTGTTCCTTCTCATTATCTGCTTCAAAGCAGGATTCCAAAATATGTGACATATCAAGCTGAATGCAACCCTAATAACCTGGCATGGTGGCCCACCAGGTGCTTTTTAGACCTGTTTGGCTACCTGCCTTGGACTACAAAAGCAGTGAGGTTGTGAGATGGATGGGTGAGCTGCAGTGAGACCCAAAAGTTCCCATTCAGGCACGGAAAGTTCATTCTAGAAAGGAACTGGTTTACTGCAATGGCTGTAAGCTGAGCTGACCCAAAAGCTGCAGCTAGTGCAAAATGCAGCTGCTCAGCTGCTCACCAGGGAAGAATATTGACAGCGTATTATGTTGCTGGTGCAATAATTGCACTGGCTTCCAGTTACCTACTGGACTAGATTCAAGATGCTGGTATTGGACAGAGAGCAGGATACCTAAAAGCTCACCTCAGACACAATCGATCACCATGTTCTGCAGGAGAGGGCATCCTGTGGGCACAATGTCAGAATTGGGCCTTTGGTATGGTGGCATCAACCATTTGGAACTCCCTCCCTCCCATGGCAAACCAGACAAGCACCTTCTCTGTTGCCTTTTCGGTGCCTGCTAAAGGCATCAACAAACCTTCTATAAACCTTATCCTAGTTGATATCAGGCTTCAATTTTCAATTGATTTCATGTATGTGATGCTTTTAAAAACTGTTTTTAACATTTATAGTTGTTTCCTTAAATGGTTTTTATGTGCAATTATTTTTAATTGCATGTGTCATTGTACTGTAAACTGCTTTGAACTGCCTCATGGGAAGCAATTTATAAATTAACTAATTGCAAATCTTAATTGATTGCAAATGAATTAATTCCTTGTTGCAAACAATGAGCTTAATTCCTAACCACCTTATAATACGTATTATCCAAATTCTTATTAAATGCTTTATGTCACCTTTTGTTAATTCATCACATTCTTATACACAGTGTGGAAGGAAAGAGTTACATGTACCCTATCCACCTTCCCTGTTGCCCCGTTGGTTACTCTATGAAAATTGCATATTAAATGATAAAACATATTTAACATCTAGGTTTGTCTTAAGTTTTGATCTTATTTATTTATTGAATTTCTATCCTACCCTTTCTCCCAAATCAAAGAACAACAGCACCTTGATCACTTCAGTTATTATGTTAGCTTGGGAGTATAGGAGATGTAGGTTGAATTTTTGCCCTTCCTAAACTGGCCTTAGAGTTTTCTGGATTATTGTGGCCTGTTTTGTGGACAGTGTGGAGCTGCAAAGCATACTGCAGCATGAATTGCAGTGGAGAAATTTCAGCAGATCTCTCTTCTTTTACACAGGTTCTCCTTCTGGTCCTAAAATGGCTCTGCAGAGTTCCTTCAGCTGCTGGAATGGAACTGTGATCAAGCTGGGACAGGTGTGTGACTTCATCAGAGACTGTAAAGAGGGAGAAGACGAGGGACAGCTGTGCAGTAAGTAAATTAAAATTCAACACTGTTTCCTAATATCCCCCTTACTTTCAACCAATGGGAATGACATAATGCCTTCCTAAACACATCAGGGAATCTGAATTGATGCTTAGAATGCTTGCACATGCTATACATGGAACTAAGCTCCATCACTGCATTCAAATAAATCAAGGTCACTACCTTGTCCGACTTAGGATGTTTTTCCACTCTAGCCTCAAATGTGACATCTAGCTTTGTCCCTTTGGGGGAAGCAAAGCTCAGTCATTTAGTGTCTCCTAAAAAAGGAATATTCTTGGCTCTCTTGTACATTCTGGATAATGCTTCCTAGTGCAAAGGAATATGGGCAAGAACTAAGATAACTTCTGAAAGCATAGAAGGCCAGTCAATGTTCCTGTGGCCTTTTGGCTAGAAGCTGAAATCAATGACCTGTGGCTCAGTACAGGTTATGCCATTTTACCCAAGCAGTGCACCAAGACCTGAGAATTTCCAGGTGTTCGTTTTGCTTTAGCTGTATCTCTAGTAGTGATGTACACCAGTCACGAGATTTTCTTTGTATCTGTAGCTCTGAGCAGCAGCCCAGCCTGTTTCGGAACTGCTTAGATCTGGATAAAAACAAATCTCTGCCCGCCTCCCATTCACTATAATGAGGATTTTAACAATAGCTATAATTCCCACCCCATCCAGAAGTGGGTGGAATTTTCATGATTAATCGAAGGTTAATCCCAATTGTAGGGAGATACATCCAGGGGTCTTTTGTGCAGGGAATCCTTCTTTAAAAAATAAGAAAGTGGAAAGTGTGTTTTGCTTTCGGCAGGCTTAGATGCAATTTGTAGGCATAGTCACCCCTTCTAAAGGGATGAAGCCTATCAGGTGTCAATGGTTCTTCCATATGGGCAAAGTTCAACATTTTGGGGTGGGTATAACAGGAATCATGGGGTGGAGGATAACATGGATCCCCAGGAAACAATGAGGTATATGTCAGCCTCCCGACTCAGATCTTGTTACCTCAAGGGTTGTTGATGGGAACAGGCTGCTGCGACCAGTTGTTTTTTTTGTGATACTGCCTCTTCTCCCTGGGAGAGAGTCAGATCTCTCCTTCAACTTGCATAGGGGAAGAGTAATGGTGGTGGGGGGGAACCCCAGCATGGAACTGCAGAAATATGCTTTAACAATATGTACAGGAATTGGAGTCCACTGAGAAAATAATTCACTGTGATTAAAACCTAGACCTGCCTGTCACACTGAAAGAATCCACCCTGACAAGGCATATGCCTCTCCACCCTTTTTGCTCATGCTGTTTCCCTAGTCGGCTTAGTTTTGCTTCAGAAATACATGAATGAATAAATAAACAAATCGGGTAAAACAGCAGTATTTTGGGGAACCTCGAATCTACAGAGTGACTTGGAAACGCCTGATCTTACCTGAGGCACCTCATCAATAATACAATCTCTACTGTTATACCGTAAACCGCCCTGTGATCCTCGGATGAAAGGTGGTGTATACATTTAATAAATAAAACAAATAAAAAAACGAATCTGACTCTGGAATGTAAAAGCCCCGCCCGAATGACACCTTTTGCCTCGTAACTCAGGAAGTACTCAGAACTCCAGTGCATACCTATAATTTCTGGTGCTAAAGTGCAACATATCGGTAGTAGGTGTAAAATGAGAGGCAAATCAGTCACTTTGGGGTGGGGACACAAAGCAATCAAGCTCATGATGAATAAGAGGGGGAAGTTACAAGGACATGTAACTGACCCTCCAAGTGTCCCTATTTTTCAGGGACAGTCCCATCTTAACAGAAGCTGTCCTAGTTTCTGATTTGATCCCGGAATATCCCACTTTCCCTTAGGACACCCCATTTTCATCAGAGAAATGTTGGAGGGTATGGACTCTACAGCCTCTAGAAGACATTGGAAGGCAGCCCTGTATAGGGAAGGTTTTTTAATGTTTAATGTTTATTATGCTTTTATATATGTTGGAAGCCACCCAGAGTGGCTGGGGCAGCCCAGTCAGATGGGCAGGGTATAAATAAATAATAATAATAATAATAACAACAACTGAATAGGGTATCCCTATTTTCATGAGAGAAATGTTGGAGGAGATGTCAACATTGACATCAGAGCTGTACATGGACAGCCTGTGCAAAGGGGGTGGCATTTCATAGAAATAGGCTTTTGTCAATTAAAAGTTTGTCCAAGGCTTGCAAATGGGAGCACTCTGACATCTGGAAAAGGTACTGTGACAAAAAGGGAATGGAAAGAAGGATAGACATGCCCAGGTTATAACACGAATCGGCACAGCAAACATGAATTGTGCAGCTGAAACACCATCAAACATGGTGATTCAAGCTTCACTCACTGTGTGTGGGAGGTGGAAGTGTGCAGAATGAGATTTAGGGAATGAGTTTTCCTGCCGTATCCTCTTGTTGAGACAGGAAATGAGTAGTGTGAGTTTTAGATGAAACACGAGCAGGTGACTGCAACGTTCTCCTGACAGTTCTGTGGAGGCCATTTTATGATGAAAAAGGCTGATTCATTTGAACTTTGCTGGTAGATGCGAACCAGCACAAAACTACCCACAAAGGAAATAGCAATATAACATTTCTGTAATAGTGCAGTGTTCTTCCTCCACATAAATACAAAAAGTTTTCTGCAAATTGAGGACTTATCTGCACAGTCATTTCTGGATTACTCAAAGTGCTGCTGGATATAATGTGCAAAGCAGGTATTCTTTCTCCTGCAGCAATTTCATGATTGGCTGGCTGTATTCCCCCACTTTCTCAAAATGTGTCACTAATGTGCCTGAAAACACATCTGTGAGAAAACTTTATTGGGTGGAGGAAATTTGAGACCAGTACCTTGCCCAGAGGGACAAGAACAGCCTAGAATATGGGCAGGGTGATATTTAGAGACTTGAGGTTTTCTTTCATATCTCGAGACTTCTGCTCTCCAACATTAAAAGTGCAGAGGCCTGCACAAAGATCATCACCATCACCCTTAGAAGTTTGAGTAATCACATGGGAGAGAGCTTCCTCTGTGGTAGCCTTAAAACTGTGGAACTCCCTCCCTGCAGAAGTGTGCCTAACATCATCATTATTCATCTGCACCATTGCTCTGGCCTTTGACAGCTGAAAAGTTTTGTGACATGCCACAAAACTGTAAATTAACCTGCTGATTGTTGTGCATGGTTGGTTGGTTTTGTTTTAAATTGTGCTGGTTTTGTTGTTGTAATCTGCGGCGAGACCTTATGGTGAAGGGTATGTCAGAAATCTACTTCATCATCACCAACACACACAGCAAGACTACAAGCTTCAAGCCAGGGTACCTCCCATAGTGTCGACAGACAGTTCCCATCTTTTAGCCAGAATGTGAAATTTGTCTAAGACTAGTTCACAACTTCATATATAGCCCCTGAACATAGAAGCCAACTCCTAGGGGCTGAGGCCCCTTCAGGCTCCCCCTAAAATATTTGAGGGTACCTACCCCCCCCAAGTTGATGGGCATTGCCATTCAAATGGTGTGCATGCAACATGTCTTGTGATTGATTATGCAGGGTGTGGCTTACCTGCCACCCCCCCCAATATTTTAATTTCGCACCCCTGCCCGTGAATGTGTATTGCATTGTATCAGTTGTAAGTAATTAAGTGTGTGTGCCACCACATAAAGGGACGCGGGTGGTGCTGTGGGTTAAACCACAGAGCCTAGGACTTGCTGATCAGAAAGTTGGCGGTTCGAATCCCCACGACGGGGTGAGCTCCCGTTGCTCGGTCCCTGCTCCTGCCAACCTAGCAGTTCGAAAGCACATTAAAGTGCAAGTAGATAAATAGGTACCGCTCCGGCAGGAAGGTAAACAGCGTTTCTGTGCGCTGCTCTGGTTCGCCAGAAGCGGCTTAGTCATGGTGGCCACATGACCCGGAAGCTGTACGCCAGCTCCCTCAGCCAATAAACACCACAACCCCAGAGTCGTTCGCGACTGGACCTAATGGTCAGGGGTCCCTTTACCTTTACCTTTTACAACCACATAGAGGGAGGGCAAGTTAGTGAGGAAATGAGTGAGCAAGGAAGGAGAAGGAGGGTGAAAAGGTGGAAGGGGAAGCCTCTGCCCCACTGCTGCTTTAAAAGGCAGAGTCCTCATAGTCACTGTGTGAAGGGATGGCAGCAGTGAGGCAGCCCCTTGCTGCTTTCTGGGCACACAGTGAATAGGTTTTCTGCTCTAGTACACAGACTATGAAAGCAGCATGCCTATTCACCCAGGCTGCCCAGTGAAAGGTGGTACCTGGAAGAACTGCTGCCATACACAGTAGCTATGGCAACCCTGCCATGCAAAGCAGCAGCAGGACAGCAGCTTCTTCTTCATCCTTGGTGCCTCTTCTCTTAAGTGCTGCCTGAAGCAGCTGCCTCAGCTCACATCATTGGTTGGCTGGTTCTGAGAAGATGTATAATGAGGAGGACCACTTCACCTTCTGGGGGCATGGGGCAAATCTATCAAGTTTTATTCACTTTTAGTGGTTCTACCCAAATGTGTGTGTGGGGGGGGTTATTTCATTTCTAAAAGATACTGCAGGATATGAACTTACTGAGGATCTTTTAGCAGCTTTGACTTAGCTACTTATGTGATTTATAGAGGAAGGTGAAGGAATGTGACTTGGAGTTTGTAGATACATTACGTGCAGCAAATATGAATGTTTCAGTCAATTGGATAAAAATCCACAGATGACCAAAAGAAATCCATAAATGAAGCAAAAAAAAAGGTAAAAGCCACATTAGAAATGATTCATCCAAAATTATGCTCATTGCTAGAATTGCAAACATAATTAGCCACTAACCTTGGTGTTATGGTCATCGCTATAATATTTATAGTCTGAGTTTATATGAAAATTCAGAGCCATATTTCAGAATATCATCCCAGGGCTCAATTGTTCCTTAAGTGGTCTATGGGCGTCAAGATTGGCCCTGTATATCTCCACTTTTCAAAACTCTTTCTATTGCCTGAATTATCCTCAAATTCTCAACAGAATAAGGTCATGGTCTGTAGCAATGGAGCCATGGTGGTTCTTTCATGCATCTGATATTTAATGCACATGCGAACATACCAAGACATGTAAATGATAACAACAGAAAGTGTTTTTGTGAGCTCTGTGCAAGGCCTTTGCTAATCAGGATTGTGCTAATAAGAGTCTAATCTGTGCAAACCAAAAAAAGAATCTGGACAATGTAATCTGACACATGAGCTAGAAACTACAAAGCTTGCAGTGGAATTGCAATAAATAGCTGTCATTGGTTTGCCACATGTAGGAGGCATTACAATAAGTGAAGAAGTCTGTGCATTCATAGTACAAGACAGCCAGAGGTTCATAAAGACATATTTATGACAGAAGAAAGTGGTACACTGGGCTAGCAATTGCTCTTTTTATACATCACTATTTCTCGCTCCACAATAAGCTTTCCTGCCGCTTCCCCACCTCCCAAGCCCTAGGCAGTGTTTGATGCTTAGATGTCTCCTTCTGACTGCTCTGGCTTGTTTACACCATTCTGTATACTGTATAGCAGGCACTAAAGTGAATTCAGCTGGACTGCATGCTGAGCTGTTTCAAGGAGAATTCTGGGTATACTTAGTTGTGACATTTTATTCAGAACTTAGCCTGAGGAGGGGAAGTAAAAATAATCACAAGGTGGGGACGGAATCTTCTGTGTTTCGGAGTTCAAAATCCCAATGGAAGTAGAATGAATGTGCCATTTTATTTATATAAAGGGACAACATGGAAGAACTTTATAATAAAATACTTTTCTAGAACTATGCAAAAATTTTGCAGGCAAACCATTTGGCAGAAGAGGGGTGGTTGGTGAACCTCAAAATGAGCTGCTTGAGATCATTTAAAACCATGTCTTCTTCCTACTAAATAATCTCAAGACAACAAGAGATCACGTACCTAGTGTGGTGATGATGTGGCACTTCATTGACATTGAGAGTTCATATCACTGAGGGTAGTGGCTTTACATTGCCCTTGCTTTCTCTGAATGGAGTAGAGTGGAGAAGGAATGTGAATTCTTTATTTTAGAAGAATAAGCCTGCAAGTACTGTATCTAGCAACAAAACCACATCTGCCCTAATTTGAAAATTCCCTCCATGCACAATTGCTCTGATGTGCTCATGGAACTGTCTGGCCTGATTGCTTTCTCCATTCATTTCTTTTAAAATAGCTGATTTGTACACACTTCTGTTTGTGCATGCAGAATAACTCTCCCTCCCCCCGTTGGAATTGTTGTGCAAGAGATCCCTTTGTGCAGCTGAGTGCAGATGGCTATCTGGACTGAGGAGAAGGAATGTTCAGCAAAACGTCAGGGGCAGACAACTTGAACATTAGGGTAGATGGATAGGCAAATATATAGGTAGCCTCTGGTGTAAGCAAATCAGTTCATCGCCACTCATGAGTTTGATTGAGTACTGTCATGTCAATCTCATTGTCTGCAAAGGTGAAAATGGGAACAGCAGCAAGCAACCAAACGATTAGTACTATAGTTGGTTAATTTTATTGTTTTAAATTTGAAGTGACATTGGGCACTTGTTAGAAAGGTAAATGTTTTCATGTTAAACAAATTAACAACAGAAACATAAGGAAATCTTGTTTCCCACTCTGAGCTTTAAGAATAGGGCAGGCTACAATAAAATGTTCATTTAACAGGAGCATGGCAAGAATGAGAGGAAACAGTGTAAAAAAGAAGAAGAGAGTTTTGCAGAGCCACAAACCTCTCTAACACTTTGAGCATGAGTATATTAGACTTAATATTGATTCAGCGAGGAATCCAATGTCTTAAAAAAATCCATATTACTTTCTGCATAGAAGCTTTCTTAATATGACAAGACAGTAATTGAATAAATATGAGTTTCAAAATTGCAAGCACTAAAACACATTGATTTTTTTTTAAAAAAAAGAAATACCTCCAGGTCTAAAAAAAGGTTGAATGTGTCACATGATTCTTACCAAAGCAGAATTTTAGAAGTAACAGAGTCTCTACAGAAGAAAGAATAAAAGTACAAGGGTATGCAGTAGCAACGATGAATGCGGCCGCTCTGATTCACAGCCCTGTGTGTGCAAACTGGGAGGTCCTACTGAAGTCTTTGACAGGCTGGTGCTCTCCACAATGCTGGCTGGGGCTGGTGAGAGTTGCAGCCCAAAGCCACTGGGTGACACTGGTTTGGTGATGGCTGCCTTACTATGTGAGTGGCTGATTCATTAAGGATGGGGGAAGAAATTCAGTTCAGTTCACATGTAAAGGTAAACCTACATAACTGACACTTCCTGAAACAATACACGGACCGAAACAAAGCCATCTTTCAAAATGTGCATGTCTCCAAATTTTGCAATGCAGTTCTCCAGCGAAGTGATGTGTATAGAAATGCACATACAGGGGCAAAGCATGCATAAAATCCACTTTTTAGTGCAAATAACATGCAAAAATGCATTATATTTGGGGTAATTATTTTGAAGTAATAAAAGTATATTAAAAAGGTAAAGGACCCCTGGACAGTTAAGTCCAGTCAAAGGCAACTATGGGGTTGAGGTGGGCATTTGTTCACAGACAGCTTTCCGGGTCATGTGGCCAGCATGACTAAACTGCTTCTGGTGCAATGGGACACTGTGATGGAAACCAGAGTGCACGGAAACGCTGTTTACCTTCCCGCCGCAGTGGTACCTTTTTATCTACTTGCATTGGCATGCTTTCTAACTGCTAGGTTGGCAGGAGCTGGGACAGAGCAATGGGAGCTCACTCCGTTGTGGGGATTCAAACTGCCAACCTTCTGATCAGCAAGCCCAAGAGGCTCAGTGGTTTAGACTACACCGCCACCAGAAGCGGTTTAGTCTTGCTGGCCACATGACCCAGAAAGCTGTCTGTGGACAAACCCTTGGCCTGAAAGCAAGATGAGCTTTGCAACCCCATAGTCACCTTTGACTAGAATTAACCATCCAGGAGTCCTTTACCTTTACCTATAAAAGTATATTAGGCAATATTGCATACCCAAATGTATGTGTTTAAGAAAAAAACCACACAAAAATCCTGTTGACGGTTGTTGTTGTTGTTGTTGTTTGATGGGGGAGATTGCAAACATATGGAAATGTGGAGAACTTTAGTTGACTAGAAAAATGAGAAATTGAGAGAAACTGAAATCGACAGATCCACCCATCTCTGCCATTCATGTCAATGGATAGGGCCTATCTACATATATAAATTTACTTCAATATGGACCACTGGCTTCACTGCAGTGAATAAAGGTGTCTGTGGAGACAGGGCCTTTATCAAGCGCTTGCACCCATAGCAAATGGTTGACTCGACTGGATAAGGTCTCATCTTTGTTACCCTCACATGTGTTTGTTTATATACCACTCAAGTAACAAACATTTTCTGGATGATTTACACCAAAACAAGCAAAACCAAACCAAACCTAAAATTGCAATAAAATATAAGCATAAAATCTGAAATGGAATAAAACCTGTATTAGAATGAATACAGCTTGAAAACCAAGAATGAGGAACAAGAACTGGGCAAAAGATCTTAAATGCACTAAGAATATGCTGATTGTGAAAATGAATTCAGCCTCCAAAAATAAAATTATGTATGTCAGTTTTCTATTTTGCATGGAATATCATTGTACTGCAAGTTACTCTCAGTTATTGATACAATGACATCCCTTTAAAGGAAAAAAATATGTGTGCGCGTGTGCTAGGTACATTAAATATTTATGGGAAGCTGAAAATTTCTCTTAAAAGTAAACTGATTGTTCAGGCTAGAGAAATGATAAATAAACGGTCATATATGCATTCTAATCTGGCTTTCATGACTGGTACAGAAGTAGTCTTGTTTGGCCAGGTGGATGAAGCTACTCCCGTATGCAATCTACATCACCTGAAATAAACTAGGGGTGCACAAACTGACTGTGTTTGAGCTCATAATTTCCCTTGTTATTTACAGAAACTCACAGTATAAGCTTGGCTGAGCATTCACCATGTTTCCAGTAACTATTTTAGATTTGTTGTTGCTGCTCTGCTGTTTTTAAAAGTAATTCCAGATTCCTACAAGTGCCATTAAGCATGTTGTAATTAATGTTGCAAGTCCCACTGGGTGCTGTGGATCGTGATGATGTGCTGTCACTATCCTGGGGAATTTTAAGTGTTCAATATATTTTATGTACATTTTACATATTTTACATTCAGTTCCACCTTGAAGTATGTAAAATACATTATATGTGTAAAAATTCCCCCATAGAGTGATGGCACGTAGTCAAGAAGTGCTGTCGATATCAGGAATTGCTCCGCATTAATTTCAACACACACAGTAACAGGGAATTTACATACAGAGATAGATGGATCTGTCACTTTCCATTCTCCCAGTTTCTCATTTTTCCAAACCTGAATTCAGTTCTCCGCATTTCTGCAGAAATTTGTGGGTTTTTGTAATTATAAAAATTAATCAGCATTGTAGCATGATTTTTCTTTTATTATTATTTTTTGTAATGCACACATTTTTGCCTAATATATTTTTGGAAAGTGATTTTTCCTAACATAATGTAAATTTGGATGTGAAATATACATTTGGTACATATTTTACCATGGTATATGAATTTTTGTCCACTTGGCTGGAGCACTGCACTGCAAAATTCAGAGAATGGCACTATCTCTCAACCTGGAGCCCTGATTCCATCTATAACCTATAGATAACAATAGCATCACCCTACCTTGCAAGGTAATCTAAGTAATGCCTGTTGAACCTCTTGGAGTCCTTGGGGAAAGCACTATACATCATTGCTGGTGCAGCACTGTGAAGGAACAATCTGCTCACCCAAGAAGAACCATAGAAACACTTCCCTTTATTCCGTGCTCAGGAATTGCTGGTCAGATCTTTGTCTCCTGCAATTTTCCTTGCAGAAAAACTTCCCTCTGGCTTCTACTGCTCCTTTGAAGATGAAGACTGTGGCTGGACTCAAAGTTCATCAACTTCCCAAGAAGCCCATCTGTGGCATATTGGAAATCCACAACATAGCCATTTTTGTTTGAAAGGTATGTCAGAGTTGTACCATACTACAGGGGGAAGGGGCTAGACCTAATTTAATTGTCTTAGGCCAGTGGTTCCTAATCAGTGGTCCACGGACCACAGGAGGTCCACATAACCCACCTGCGGCACCATTCACAAAACAAACACTTCTATAGAGACAGTGCTTTTTTTCACACAGAACTCACCGGAACCAAGTTGTGGCACCTCTCAGGTGGGTGCTGTTGCCATTATAAGAGAGCAAGGGTCGTGTTCATGGTGAGTTCTGGCACCTCTTTTTCTAGAAAAATAGCACTGCATAGAGATATTTAAAAAAATCAAAAGTTGGGGGTCCGTGGCTTGGCTTTTGAAAAAATGGGGGTCCGCAGTTCTTAGCTAATTGGGAACCACTGTCTTAGGTCATTGAAAAGAGAATAAAATTTCCAAGGTTTATTTATTTCCAATACCCTGCCATTAGGGAGAATGAGGTGGCTGTCTGACATGGCAGATGTTGACGGCAGGAAGTGGTGGCAAGGCACTAGCCCCATCACCAGGACTGAAGTAAGACTGAATTGCCCGTCCAGTCAGCTCCAGCAGATGGAATGCAGGAGGAAGAGAGGCATCTTGTCTTTCACCTCAGGCAGCAAAATGTGTCAGGCTGGCCCTGAGCAATTCACAGCACCAAGATTTCCGTTCTTTTGGAGTTCTCTTCATGTTGCCGTGATGATGGTAGAAGTGACCTTCAGCCTCAAGCTTCAGTGAAATATTACTTTTGCATATTTCATAACGGCAGAGGTTCACTCAAAATCAAATTTTTAAAAAAGTTGGATGCATTTTGATTCGGAGCAAGTGAAGAAAACAAATCCCAAGTCAGGGATAAACATTGTTTGTGAGAGAAGCTGGCAGGGTGCTTGCGTATAATTCTGAAGGTGAGGCCCTGGGGTATATGAAACTGCATTACTACATCCAAAGAATACTGAAAAATGACTTCAGTTGTGTTATCCCTCTATAATAAGGGTCTACCTGACATTTGCATGTCTGTGTGTGCACACCCACCCACAACCAAATAGTCTGTTCTGCTGCACAAATGTTCCATCAAAGTAGTAACAAATTTACCTCCCCTTCTTCTCTCCCCTCCTTTTGCCCCCTCCCAGAATGTGCACTTTTGCTTAACACCAGTGAGATGCCAGCTGCAGAAACAGTTGTGGTGACTAGTGCTGTGTTTCCAGCTCCCATGAAAAACTCACCCTGTGAGGTAAGTATACTTGCTTAGCTGCAAACTGGAAAAGTGTGCAAGGTGCTTAGATTGTCAAAAAAGATGTATGTCTGGCTGTTATAAGGCCCTTCACATCACCCTTTTATTTGAATGACATGAGATACAAATACTAATGGCTCGGGCAGTGTTGGGTATTCCATTCCAAGGGCTGCTGCTTTCAGTGGTGTAGAGCATCTCTGCACTTTAAGTAGCAAAGACAATCGTTACTACATGTTCACCAATGTTTCTGTGTACTGTGGACAGCATGGTGAATTCCTTTGTGAATGTGTACGTGCAAGGAACCCAGTGAAATACACAGCAATTGTGTTTATCAAGCAAAGAGTGGAGGACCCATTATCTCCACTCTTCTCTCACCTTTAGAAACTGATCTTTGGGACCCTGAGTTTGAAACCAGCTGTGAGAAATAGCGCCTCCACTGGTGAACTGGAGTTATTGACTAAAGAAAAAGAAGACTCACAAAAAGTGCCATTCAAAACTGGGTTTGAAGTGGGAGAGTCCTGTGTAAGAAACTCGGTGAAAGAATTGGGTTCAGTTCACATTTAAATGCAGACCTACCTAATCACACTTCCCCAAATAATACATGAACTGAAGCACAACTTCAAAATTTGCAGTTTTCTGAAATGTTGTTTTCCAGCTAAGTAATGTTGACAAAAATGTTTGTACTAGGATAAAATATGCATAAAAAAGCATATATTAGTAAAAACAATAACAGAAATACTGTAATGCATTATATTAGGGAAATAGCTTGCAAAAATATGTATATTGGGCAAAATTCACATTAAAATGCTAATTAATTTTCATAAAGTTTTTTTTATTAAAAAAGACACACAGATGAATATGGAAATGTAAAGAACTGGACTTAAGGCTAGAAAAAGTGAAAAATGGAGAAAAACCAAATTGACACATTCACTCATCCCTAGACCAATGGGAAAGGATGATAAATCAATGTGTGCCAGACTTAAAGCTCCCCTTAATATTTCTTTTTTAATTTGTACAGGGACAGGAGCATCGTAGGTTAGGGGACAGCCAGAACTGCCCATTCCTTTGAACGACTATTGTACTTCTGTGAATGATAAATTCACTCAAGTAAGGAGGGAATGAAAACTGTCATGTTTGGCCTTTAGAAGTAATTAACATCGCTGATGTAAATCACTGGTGCTCTTTAGCAGCGGCAGGAAAATTACATACCCAAGAGGCGTATAAAATTAAAATTGGAAACCGCTTTGCCACTAGTGCTGCAGAGTGCATAGGAATAATTACAGCAGAATTGTGCAAATAGGAACTGCTAGGTCATACAAAAGCATCCTGGATAAGTACCCAAAGAGTTCAGATTCATTGCATCCATATATCTGAAGTTTGATTTTTCTATACTTTATTAGTAATGCTAACATTTTCTACATTTTCAAAAAGAAATTGGCGCTCAGTTAATTCTTGTAGATGCCCATTTAGAGCCACAGTTCTGAGAGACTTCTCAGTGCAAACTCTGTAAAGCAGCCTTTGCCATCCTGGTGCCCTCCAGATTCTTTAGACTCCAAATCCCCCAGCTGCATCCAGTTCACATTGGGGCTGATGTGAACTGTAGTCAAAAAAACATCTGGAGCACCCCAGGTTGGTGAAGGTTGTGGTAAAGGAAGATTGTTGAGGACAAATACAGGTAACTATGTGTTGGGAGTGAAATCCATGTAAAACAATGTTGCAACAGGCAAGCAAAGGCACCTGTGTCCTTGTACCCTCCCTTTTCCCACTCCTGGAAAACATAGGGGCTGTTTGGGGGTGGGTTTGACCTGGTTTGCAGAGTTTCTTCTCTTGCTGTTTTAGGTGCATAATTGCAAAACCCGGGCATACACACAGCATGAATGGCCACAGTAATTGGGAGGTTGTCAGGATCAAGTGTTTGTCCAACATTCGCCAGAGATATGAATGGAAACAAGTATTTCCATGGAAGGGTGGCAAATCCAGTTCTTGCAGTGTAACTCAACATAAGATGAACTTGCTCAATAGACTAGCTTGATGGTGTGCCCACTGTCCTCAGTTATTCCAGCTGAGATGAGAAAGCTCAATGATACTGCATCTGCTTTGCATTCAAGGAGTTCCAGTTTTGGTCTCTGGTGTCTCTTGGTAGCTGTGGGAGAGATTCCTGTCTGAAACCCTGGAGAGTCATCAGCTGTTAGTGCGGACGATGCTGAGCTAGATGGACCAATGGTCTGACCACAGCAGCTTCCTGTGTTTCTAGGTGAACCCTACTTCCCTCAGCTGTCACCTTGAGGTTAACATGTTGCTATGAGAGCAGAGAGAATACATAGGGAACTATTCAGCTAATTCCTTGTGCACAGGTAAAGACTTCTGCTGGTGCAGTAGGACTCCTCCCCCCCCCCCATGCCTCATAAAAAGATAAAGGGACCCCTGACCATTAGGTCCAGTCATGGCCGACTCTGGGGTTGCGGCGCTCATCTCACTTTATTGGCTGAGGGAGCCGGCGTACAGCTTCTGGGTCATGTGGCCAGCAGGACTAAGCCACTTCTGGCGAACCAGAGCAGCGCACGGAAATGCCGTTTAACTTCCCACTGGAGTGGTACCTATTTATCTACTTGCACTTTGACATGCTTTCGAACTGCTAGGTTGGCAGGAGCAGGGACCGAGCAACGGGAGCTCACCCCGTCATGGGGATTCGAACCGCCGACCTTCTGATCGTCAAGTCCTAGGCCCTGTGGTTTAACCCACAGTGCCACCCATGTCCCTCCATGCCTCATAGCCTCCCCCAATCTGCTCCAGACAGCTGGGGGAATCTCTATAACTAGAGAAGTTAATGGAAGAAAACAGGATGAAAAGAACGGAGTAGTCGTAATGGAAAAGGGCAAAATGAGCATGAGCCAGGGCTTCTTAACTTTTTTTTGGCCTTGGCCTTTGAAAATCAAAGAGGTAGCACAAAATGTCCATTTCACAGAAGGCACATTGATGATGCTCAGGCCACCATTCCCCAAACAGGCAACACACCTACACCTTCCCATTCCAAAATAAATAAAACCCAGGGAGGAGTGAAACTTTTCCCTCCCCTCCTTCAAAACTTCCCATGATACACTTCCTTAAGACCTTTTTCCTGAGACTTGCTTACTTTCAGTATTGGAGCCAGGCTGGGGGGGGGTGGAATACCTTAAAGCAGGAACATATAGCAGGGGAGGAAGCAGGTTTTGTTCCCATCCTCTGCGCACTCCACTTCATGTTGAAAAAGGTAACCCTTTCCCCACACCCACACTTTATCCATACTAGTAACCCTGTGTTTAGTGCATGCCCACAATGTCTGGGTCATCCCTTGGCTCCCCTTTTCTCTGACAACATCCCTCTGCTTATAGTGATTTTTCTTCCTGAGCTTAGGTTAGGAGACTTTTATGTTGTATTATTTGATTGCATTTATTCCTAGTGGACATCTTTCTTCAGACAATTAGACACTTGCTACCTCAATTTCGATTGACATATTGACACATTCCTATTCAATTTCCTCGCCTACCATTGCTTCTTCCTTTACAAGAGTCTCTCCTTTCCTTCTTTCATGCCTGCAGCACATGCAAGATGTAAATATTTTAAAACTCCATTTTGTCACAGACCAGCAAGTGTGAATATTTCTCATAATCTGCCTGCTGTCAGAAGCCGGGTGAATAATTTCCCAAGGTGTGTTCGTTCCCCCCCTCCCCCCTTTCCATAAACAGGGTGAATAATTAAACTTGCATTTGAAAGTGCATTGGGGAGGGGAAGAGAAAGTTGCAATCTATTACTGCCCCACCTCTGTCACTCCCGGTGACACTTAAAAGTCGCCCATGCAGATCCAGCATTGCAGCTGTTGGTAATAAAGACTCAACAGATTTTGGCAATGGTTCTTGCTTCTTCCTTTTCACACTGTGCAGAAGCCTCGGCTCTGAACAAGCCCTGGCTTGAGGCTTCGAAGACTATTTTACTGGAGCAATCAATCTATGTGACCAGAATAATTCAACATCATTCCAAGCCTATTGCAAGGAGAGGAGCAAGTCCTTGCCCCCTAATTATCCCGGGGGATAGGAGCAAGTGATCATCCTCATAATGGAGCCATAGCTGGAAAATATGATGGTGAAATTAAAATTCTGCTTTCCCATATTTATTTCCTCTCCAGCATTTCCCAGTCGGACTAGCTTGGATTTACGTGTTAAAATTCCTCTCCTCCCCTCGACCTCTTTTAGCTTTGACAGCTCAAATGGGCATTTCACAATCAGGCCAGCAATTGGAATTTTACAGTAGATTTCAGAAAGATGTTGAACTGAACTCAGTGTCTCAGTGAAGTTTTCACCTTGGAGCCCTGTCTCACCAAGTCTCCCACATAAACCCCTTCACTTTTCCTGTAAGGATATGAGTGGGGAAAACTTCAGATCCTGGTCCTGTGTATGTAGGAGCCCTCTATGCCCCCTAACCCTCAATGACTTCCAGGGATGTGGGTTCTTGTGTATGCCTAAGTGTGTATGGTGAGTCTGCACCTGTCCAGCACTCTTTCAAACAGGAGCTACCACAGCTGGGCTTCCATGTCATTACCTCAGCAGATTGCTTCATGTTCAGAATGTAGCTAACCAATATATATGAGATTGGGAAAGTAGCTTTGCCCCAAAACACTATGGACTTGTCCACCATGGAGCAAAATGTAGACCCCATCCTAGTGCTGCCCCCCCATTACATTTTTTAACATCCTTGCCATTTCAGACTTTCCAAGGATTGAAGAACCTCACACTTAAAGGGAGAAGAGTTCAAGACGACACTGAGATGGGGAGGGCATCTTGTGGATGGCCAACACTGATGGGGAGACAGGCTGGTGCAAATCCAGATTTTGCTCTAGTGTGGACAATCCTTATGTCTACTGATACGATAGTATGGGTTTTTGAGAAATGATGTCCCCACCTGCACCATGAGAAGCACAGGAAGCTGTTTGTCCATCTAACCTGGTTTTACATACTTTGACTTGC